CTGGAGAGTTACTAATACCATCACCTAAGAGTGTAATAGAGGCAGATTGGGGCCGATAGGAAGGAAGGTGTGACCCTCAGCTTTGGAACCACAAGCATCAGAGGCTTCACGTTCTCTTAGAGATTCAGGGACAGTGGTAACTGAGCAGGACACCCACATGCATCCACTGTTTCTGCATGTAGAGAAATCATCTACATCCATCCACTCCGCTTCTGCATGTCATCCGAGAGAAGTCATCCGAGTGACACGACCGGCCAGCATACTATCCTCAGACCACATCCAGGCAGTTACACGTTTACACAATCCAGGGAAAGCATGGGCACAAGGCTGGCATTTATCTGGCTCAGGTGGGACAGGATGTGCTGAAAAATCTCTGTAGTTAAGGAAAACGTCATGGAACTTCTGAGCTGCAAGTGCCTAGAACATCAGATCGTGTACAGAGAGGGAGGGCAGCTCTGAGGGAGATGGCGGTTCAGAACAGTCTCTGCTCGAGGATGGAGTGAGTTTCAAGTCAGCCCAGTTGAGGCAGCCCCGTCCTGCCCTGCACAGAGAGGGCACACTCAGTAAGGCTCGTTTTCCTCTTCCCAGGTGCTGCCCCCTACCTGAAGACCAAGTTTATCTGTGTGACACCGTAAGTGGCCTCCTGTCCCAATTTTGCCTCCATTTCTAATGTCCTCAGTCCCCCTGGAAATGGGACACTGGGTGAGAGTTACTCTGCGAGGGTTGGAAGGCCCTGGGCTGTGTTTAGTACCCACGGTGATCTTGTGCGTTTAAAAAGCTTGAGCTTTTATTTTTCTGTTGGAGACCAGAGTTTGATGGCTTGTGTGTGTGTGTTTTGTTCTTTTTTTTTTTTTTATCCATTGTGTCTTGTCAACCCGGCCCTTTCCCCTCCCGCTGCTCCCCATTTCCTACAGAACGACCTGCAGCAATACCATTGACCTGCCGATGTCCCCCCGCACTTTAGATTCATTGATGCAGTTTGGAAATAATGGTGAAGGTGCTGAATCCTCAGCAGGAGGGCAGTTTGGTGAGTATTTGGAGGGCAGTCCGTCCCCCTTGTGTGATGGCCCGTGTGCGGAGCCAAGAGCTGGTCACGGGGATTGTAGAAGGGGCTCGAGAGCGGAAATACACTGCGCCACGTGTGTAAGTGTAAATCTCCTGGGAGCCACGTTAAAAACAGTGAAAGGAAACAGGTGAGGCCAATTTTAATGTTTTCTATGTAGCCCAATAAATCCAATATGCTATGGTCTCAACGTGTAAGGAAAACACGAGTGAGGTTTTTGCACTCCCTTTGAAACCTGTTGGGTGTTTTGCAGTCACAGCCCCTCTCCCTTTGGACTAGCCATTGTGACTCCAGGCTGCCGCCTTCCACAGAGCAGCCCTGGGCAATCTTTAAGCACCCGGAGTTGGGAATGAGTTAAGGTAGGAGGGACTGTGCCCTTCCAGGGCAAGATCCCGAAGGGAGGAGAGTGAATCTGGGTTATCCAGCCCTGTCTTGGCCACAAGGGGCAGGAGACTGGGTGGCAGAGGTGGCCTGAGCCTTGCTCCCCCGAAGGGCTAGGCGCAGGCGTCTTCAAACTACGGCCCGCGGGCCACATGGGGCCCGCAGAGGAGTCTGATCCGGCCCGCCAGGTTTTTTGGGCAGTGAGCGCAGCCGAGGTGTTACAGTAGGAATTAGTAGTTCATATAGTCCGGCCCTCCAGCTCTCTGAGGGACCGTGATCTGGCCCCCACTTTAAAAAGTTTGAGGACCCCTGGTAGGGTGTGTGCCTCGCCAGCTGCAGGGCCCAGGCAACTGACCAGCTCTCCCTGTCTGTCCCTCCAGAGTCCCTCACATTCGACATGGAGCTGACCTCAGAGTGCGCCACCTCCCCCATGTGAGGCGCCAAGGACCGAAGCTGCAGCGAGAGATGACGGAGGCCCCTCTCCGTGTTCCACCCCTTAGCCAGCCAAGCCCCAGAGCACCTGAACGCCTCACTCTGTGGTTCCAGATTTGTTTTAATCTCCTACTCTGCTATCTCTGAGCAATCTGGGCACTGTTTTCAAATAGAGAAATGAATGAATGTGGGTGATATGCTTTTATCTAAATGCAAATAAGAAAGCGCTCTCTGAGACTGTGATCAGGGGATGTGGAAGGGGTGGCAAGAGGGAGGAAAGGAAACGGGCGTTTTTGTCCCCCTGCCCTCCTTTCTCAGCAGCTTGTTGTTGTTGTTCGACAAGTGCCTCCTGGTGCCCGCGGCATCCCTCTGCCTGTTTCTGTAAGCTCACGCCACAGGCTGCCTCCGGCTGCATCCCCCGCACTGCACTTTTAACCTTGCTAACATCCAAATGATAGATAGGACTTTCAGAGCCCCTAGGTTTCTTTTTAAATTTGAAATAATAATAATAATTAAAAGGCAACAACACTGTATCAGCATAGCCTTTTTTGTGTATTTACGAAAACTCAGTTCTTAGCCTCCTTGGTGCTTCAGGCATTCAGCTTTCTTCAGGCTGACACTTTATACAAACCCTGAAACGGGCCTCAGGTCCAGCCCTTAAAGGACCTCGGGAGCTGTGGCGTAGCCTTTGGTTTTGAAATAAGAAGGTTGAAGGAGAACCTAAACATTCTAGCCTTTTTTAAATAAATAGAGTTTTTATTTTCCTTTTATGTGTTGGTCTGTTAGTAGGTGAGGCTGGCAGAGGGGTTCTTAGAACCTTTCCTCCCTTCCTTCTTGTACACGCGCTCCTATTCAGAGCCCGGGGGTTCTGTGGGTGCCTTATAAGGAATGGGGTGACTCTCTTTCCTCCCCCCGACCCCCACCTCTCTTGTGGCATGGCCCCTCGCAGTGTCCAAAGTCCCTTGTCCTATTTGCTTTAGGAATCTGGTCTCAGGACCTCCTGGAGTAAGAGGGAGAGAGTTACAGGTTGAACATGACTCAGACAATGGGGCCCCACCCGAGGGTCTGGTAGAGCTCAGGGAATGTGGATCTCACCCCCGTTTCTTGGTGATTGCCCACAGCACCTGTAATTACTTCTTCACTTGGTTAACCCCGGGGCAAAGGCTGGCTGATAAACTCAGTCTGTCCCTGTGTGAGGGAGCGTGCTCCCAGCCTCCTCCCGACACTGGTGACTCTCCCTGTGGAGGCCCCACAGCTGAGGCAGCGCAGGTCGAGTTTACTGTGTCCCTGGGGACACTCGGGAGCCGGGGAGGTGGTCTTTGCTATTGGGGCCCGCTCTGGCCCAAAGGCATGGTTACAGTGGGTGGTCCCAAACCACGTGGGCCTGTGATGGGAGTGTCTACCCCAATTGGCCAGTTTCTGAATGAAGGCGATGAAGACTCTTACACAGGGGCTGCCCTGGGCCATCCCTGTCTTCCCACCTAGAAACGGTTGACAGGTTGCACAGAGCTCTCCCTTCTCCAGCCGCTCTCTTCATAATAAGCTTGACTCATAACATGACAGATCTAGATCCGAGGGACCTGGAGCAGGTGTTGTACAGTTCAGGGCTTCGAGTAGCTTTTGTGTCTGGGTTTAACTCTGGCTGTGGCAAAGTTCTGAGAGAAGCTGAGACTTGGTCAGCCGCTCCCTTAAAGAACCAAGTCCTCCAGGACCTGCCCGCGCTCTCTCCTCTGTCTGCCCCCGCCCGACCCCAGCCCAGCCGAGGGGGCCCACTGATCGCTTAACCTACTTACACAGTGGTTTTAAGCTGTTGTCCTGGCCACTGCACCAAATTCCAATGTATACTTCATAGTGTAAAAATTTATATTATTGTGTGTGTGTTTTGTATATTGCTGTATCTACTTTAACTTCTAAAAATAAAGATATATAGGACCTGTCTGGCAGCTGAGTCTCTGGCTGGTGGAGGTTCTGCAGGAGCCTGACCCACTGTCAGGTCTGTGTCTGGAGAGGAGGTGGCAGTTCTGCTCTCGGTCGCCTTTGCTTCTCATCCGTGAGTTGACTCAGGGCCACTTTTGGGGCAACAGAGCAATCCTCCCCAACTTGTGTTAGTCACCAGCCTCCAGGTAAGGGTCAGTGGAAGAGCCAGGGGTCAAACTCCTTCACACAAAGGTGTCGGAATGGAGGCCTCCCTGCTCTCTCCGCCCCTCCCCCTCCCTCCAGGGGCCCTGCATGCTGGGCCTCCTGTCTGGGGTCTGATAAGCTACCTAGGGGGGGTTGGGATGGAGATCTCCCACCCCACCCCCAAGGCCTCCCCTTCCACAGTTGCTCCATTATCACTTTCTCTTCAGTCACTCAGTGGGGATGAACCAAACTAACCGGCTGCTGCTCTGGCCCTCAGTCAGCGGTGATAATTCACAGACATGGGCACCCACTCGGCTCTCCCACCCCCTCCCCTGGTGCCGAGTCCCACGAGCAGATCTGAGCAGGAGTGAGAGATATGAGCCGCCTTCTCCTGCAGAGATGGAAGCGAGATTAGTTTGTTCAGGCGGGGCTGGCGGCTGCTTCCTTCCCCACCCGCCCCCAGCACCCTGCTCTGGGCCCCTGCACCTCCCGGGGCGGCTGCCAGCCCCTTCCCTCCTTTGAGCTCTGAAGAAATCTTGTCAGTAGGCCTTTGCTCCCTCCTTCCCCCAGAGGCCCCAGCGACAGCCCCTGGACCTCGGAGACTCCCCTTCTGCTCTGACCAGCCTCCTCCTGGTCTCAGGCCGACCATTGGAGACATGGGGGCAGCGGGATGGTGCCATCTGCTGGTGTCTGGGAAGAGGGACGGTTGGGAGGCTGCCCTGTGACCCTGGCCCCAGAAGGGCTGAGAGTCACCGTGGCCCTGGCCCTCAGCTGCCAGCTTCAGGATTGCTCTCAGCAGCAGCCACACGTCTTCCTGCTCCTCGCGTCCCTCCCCCCAGTAATTCCTGCCCCATCCTTTCCCAAGGCCTCATGGCCTAGCTCTTTAGTCTGGTGAGAAGCACCGATAGTGTTGGGGGGGGGGGGGCGGCACCCTAAAAACACAAGCTAAGGAGCGAAACACCACCAGCTCCCAGGGCTCCTCAGTCAGGAGCCACACCAGCCGTTTTATGGAAAAAAAAAATACTTTATTTCAAAACACTTCACAAGTGTGTGGCCTATGTACAAGGTACAAAAGACTCCCTCTTCTCACCCCCCCCCTGTGCCTTCAGAGAGATTCCAACCCGGGGCTCCCGCGATCCCACTGTCAGCTGCCCTTGGCTGCAGGCCAGACAGCCTCGGAGGGCAGAGCCAGCGAGGCTGCGAGCCAGGCCTTCTCCCACCACAGCGGGTTATGCAACTGTGGGGAGGCCTCTGCCAGGCCCCGCCTCCCAGCAGCTTGCAAGCAGGGATCGGCTTTCACCCCTCACTTCAGATCCCAGCTGATTTGCTGCTGTCTCTCCATGCAGGTTATTTCCAGGATCAGAAGGGATCAGCCCTGCAACACCAGGTCCTACACCTGTCTTCCTCCCCTACCTCTCCTGTAAGCCACAGAGGCAAGGACAGGAGGCGGGGCCAGATGGGGGGGAGGGGGTGCTGGGTGAGAAGGAGCGGGAGCCTTGGCCGGGGCACCATGCTCTGGATGAGGGAGGCCAAGAAATGACACACTCAGAGCAGCTTTGGTGGGCCTGACTCAAATGACCCATTTCTGCTGCTGGGGACTTGGCCACGACCTACATAACAAGCTCTTGGCTCACAGAACGTCTGGAGTCCATGTACATCCGATAAAGTAGAAAACACTGAGCCCAACCTCCCAAGGGAAGAAGCGACAGACCCACACGGGTGCGTGAGAGCAGATGCACAGATACGCGCGCGCGCACGGGCGTGCGTGCGCGCGCAAACACATTTGGGAGGCAAAGCTTCTAAGTCGGGAGTAAAGTTTAGAGATGCTGCCCGTCTCTAGTCCCCTCCGTACACAGTTTCATACAAACAGCTGCTGAGCGGACAAGCCCCGGCGGAGGCTTCCTGTGCGACGGGAACGGCTCCGCCTCTCCCACCGCAGAGACGGGCCCGGGACTCCTGGGATACCTAGGACTGCGAAGGCGAGGTGGGCGCAGATATACACACACGTATGCACGCGTACACGTGCTGCCTGCAAGGGCACCAATATGCACAGCAACACGAAAATCACAGACGGACAGGAACCCTTCGCGTGGGCATTGTTTCCGAGAAGTGTGGGATTCACACGCTCAGGACAGCGAGCCCCGGGCAGAGCTGAAGAGCCCGGCCGGAGGGGACAGGCGGGGGTCCAGGCTCTCCATCGGCCGGCGTAGGAGCTCCTCCACATGCCGGGCCACGTCCATGGTCTCGTCCAGGTCAAAGTCTCCGTCCTGGTCAAGGACGGGGTCAGGACTGGCGGAGAGGAGGGGGGGGTGTGTGTCAGAGGGAGCTGGCTGGTCTCCCCGCCTCAAACTCTCGGGGGCAGTCCCCAGCCTGCTCCCCCACTCAGACCAGCTCTGGCTAGACCCCTGCACCCCAAGAGGTAGTCACTGGCTCTTTGGGTGGCAGCCCAGTCTCATCTCGCACTGCCTCCCTGAGGGAGAGCAGAGGATTCCTTTTCCTCGCCCCATCCTCAGCGGTCAAGGGAGGCGGTTGACGGACGCAGTGAACTCTGTCCAGCTGCGCTGCGATCCCGTTAAATCCCAGGACCATCCCCTGAGCACCGACGAGCACCTGGGCCCTGTAACCACGTTACTCCAGTCCTCCCAGCCACCTGTACGCGTTTACTCAGCTGTGCCGAGGAGGAAGGGAGGCTTGACCATGTCCAGGACCTTGCTCAGGGCCACCTGGTTGGCATCCCCCAGCCCCCCCCCCCAAGCCTGTGGGGGTCCCACTACAGCTTGAGCCTCCCAGGCAACCAGACATCCAGCCCAGACCAACCACCACTCAGAAGAGAATTAATTCCCTCCCGTGGGAACCCCAGAGAGCAGCAATGATGCCCTGCTCCCACCTGCTTCTTAGGACCGACCACCTCACTCATAGCTTGGGAGGCAATCGATAGGAGAGAGACTCCTGTGTGAGGTCTCACCTGTGCTAAATGCTTTACCCTCTCTCTCTCTCTCTCTCTCTCTCTCTCTCTCTCTCTCGTTATTCCCGACCCCAACCCCCCAAGGCACCAAGGCAGGTATTCTCGCTTCCATTTTACAGAGGAGAAAACGGAGCGTCAGAGAGGCTCAGCCATTTCCCCAAGGTCCCACCGCTAGCCAGCACCAGAGCAAGGACCCTGCTGTGCGTAGTCCCAAAACGCACTGTGCTTTTCACTGGCCGAGCTCACCGTCCCGCACCTGGCACATGCCAGAGCTTGGCCTGGGCTGGGTGGTCTCGGCCCCAGAGGAGCTCTGGATTCCTTGGCGCACAGCCCTCCAGCGCTCCAGTCCAAGGCCAAGTGCCCAGTCCCTGACCCCCTCCCTTGCCCTCCGTCCCCCCCTCCCCCCCGCCATGAAGCCCTGTGAGAACACAACCTACTTCTGTGGGTACATGTTATAAGGAGCCTGGGGACCCACAGCCGGGGAGGGGGCCTGTTCCATGTAGATGGCACTGCCCCCGGCAGAGTCCGCAGATGTCACAAACCTGGAGGAGGAAGCAGAGCAGAGCCTCTGAGGCCGCTGGCATGGGGAGGGGGGTGCCCTGGGCACTGGCCCATGGCGAGACCAAGGCCAGTTCCCTCCCCAGGACTGAGCCCTTGGACGGGAGGGGTGGCGGTGAGGGGTGAGGACAGCGGGGAGGGGGTGGCGGGGGAGGGAACAGAGGCAGCGGGAGACCAGAGCTGGGCCCCGGGCACTTACTCAGGGACCACTTGCTTGATCTGTGGCTTCACGTACCCGTCCACCGCTTTAGCTGCCGAGGGGGGAACTGTGATGAGAACCAAAGTTTCCGGGAGCTTGCCGGAGGGCGGAAGCCCCACCGCTCACCCTTGGAGTCCGCCTCTGATCCCGGTTGCTGGGGGCCTCAGCCAGGATGAGATGGCCCACGGACCCCGAATGGACACCGGCTGGCGGGCCAGCCAGAGGGCTACCCAGAGTCGGGCTTCAGTCTCATCCCTGCTCGGGCCTCCTTTGCTGGCCCTTTGCTTTCTCTCTCCCACCCCTGCCCCTGCCAAGGACACAGAGCCAACACCAAGGAGCACAGGCAGCCAATGGGCTGGGGACAAGCTGAAGAGGAAAAACCTGTCCCCTGCGCTCCTGCCCTGAAGCCCAGGAGCAGCACGGAGGGCGGGGCGCAGGGCCGGCAGGGGGAGAGGTGCCTTCTCTGCGGGTTTGACTCATCCTGGCTCCTCCCCAGCACTGCAGCCTTCTCTCCCAAGGGCAGAAGGGAGAGTCTACCGGCTTCTCCCTTCGCAGAGAAGAGAGTCCACTTCGTGGTTTCGCCTCCCTTGCAAGCCCTGACATCCCCTGCACATCATGCTCTGCACCATCCCGGGACCAGAGCCCACGGGGCTGTGCTGGGGGAGCCCCCGCCGCCCCGCCGGAGGTGTGCCCGCGGGCCGCGGGGGGCGGGGAGGGCCGCGGGGGCGGGGAGGGCCGCGGGGGGCGGGGAGGGCCGCGGGGGGCGGGGAGGGCCGCGGGGGGCGGGGAGGGCCGCGGGGGCGGGGAGGGCCGCGGGGGGCGGGGAGGGCCGCGGGGGGCGGGGAGGGCCGCGGGGGGCGGGGAGGGCCGCGGACGCACCGAGCACGGGCGTGTAGTACTTGGAGAAGACCTCGTCCTTGGGCCGGTCGGGGAACACGTAGATGAGATAGTTCAGGTCGCCCAGCCGGTCGGCCAGGGACCGGATGGAGAAGTCCCGCGTGGTGAACGGCTTCAGGTTCCACAGGTTGCGGTCGGCTGTGAAAGGGTCGAGCTCGTTCCCACAACCCGCAACCCACCGCTGCCAGGAGGCGGCCTGGGGCTGTGGGGTTCAGGGCGGGCTGGTGGGGACACCTGGTCTCTCTCTCTTTTTTAACATATTTTATTGAATTTTTACAGAGAGGAAGGGAGAGGGATAGAGAATCAGAAACATCAATGAGAGCTGACACAGGTTTGGCTCAGTGGATAGAGCGTCAGCCTTCAGACTGAAGGGTCCCAGGTTCGATTCCAGTCAAGGGCATGTACCTTGGTTGCAGGCACATCCCCAGTAGGGGATGTGCAAGAGGCAGCTGGTCGATGATTCTCTTTCATCAATGTTTCTAACTCTCTATCCCTCTCTCTTCCTCTCTGTAAGAAATCAATAAAATATATTTTAAAAAAGAAAGAAACATCGATGAGAGAGAAACATCGATCAGCTGCCTCCTGCATAACCTCCCCTGGGGAGGTGCTGCATCCAAGGTACATCCCTTGACCGGAATCGAACCAGAGACCCTTCAGTCTGCAGACCAACGCTCTATCCACTGAGCCAAACCAGCAGGGCAACACCCGGTCTCTTACTAGTCCCCCCTGCAGCCCCATCCCTGAGCTCCCTGGCCCAGGGCGAGGAAACGGCCGGGGGAACATCTACCCAGCAAACCGGGCGGGTAGATACCGCCAAGGCTGGGGCAGGGCAGGGAAGGGAGAGCATGCCTCTGCTGACGGCCTCAGCCGGCGACCCCGGCGCCGCAGGGGGCCCGGGTTTGAGGCTCTCCGAAACGGGAAACAATGGAAAGGGAATGTGTTTCCTCCCGGACTCTGAGCCCCGTTCCCCTCTTTCCCACCAGGTGCCGTCTGAGGACGTGGGGCTGGCGTGTGGACAGAAGAGGGCACTCACGCGAGTCAAACTTCCAGGCGATGGTGATGCCCCCGATCTCCGAGTCGCTGAAGCGCAGCAGGAAGGTCCCGTCGGGCTTGTTGATGAGCAGGTCGTGGGCCTGCTGCTTGTTCACAAAACCTAGGATGGCCCTGGGCGCACGGAGCATACGGTGTCACCGCTGGGCCTGCGGCCGCCGTCCCGCGCCAGCGCCCTGCCGGCCCCCTGCCCGCCATTCCTCACCCGTCGTTCCAGTGGGGCTTGTGATGCTTCTTCAGCACCTCCATGACCCCGTCAAACCACTGCCAGAAGGTGTAGTTCCAGCCCGGCAGGTTCTCCTGCGAACCCCCGACACCCCATGTCAGCGCTTGTCCTCATCCGCACCCTCTCCCACTTCCCCGCCCTACTGTCCCACTCCCCGGCCGTCCATCAACGGACACGCTCCCAGCCCCTCTGCCAGGGAACTGGAGTCAACGCACCTCTGGTCTGAGACCCAGAGGCCCAGACAACCCCATGGGGAGGGGGATGGACGTACAACAGCCGTTCCTGCCCAGCCCCCTCATTCACAGAGGGGGAAACCGAGGCCCAGAGCAGGGGAGGGGCCTGGCCAAACAGTTGACAAGGCGGGTCCAGAGCCCAGGGTTCCTGGCTCTCAGTTCCGGGCTCCTTTCTGTGGTCCTGCCTGGCTGTCACAGTGGACTGCATTCCCTTGGGGTACCAGCCCCCTCCCTCTCTCCTGCTTGGGACAGAGGGTGGGGCACTGACCTCGGCCAGGACCCTGTCCCTGAGGGGGGGGGGGCGTGGCGAGGCCCAGGGGGCCCAGGCCGGCGGCCGGCGGGCGGCGGGCCCTCACCCTGTTGAACTGGGACCAGGACACGGACATGCTGTTGTAGTCCTCCAGGTGGCTGCTGCTGCCGTTGAACAGCTTCTGCGCCAGGAACACGAGGTTCTCCTTGGTCAGGCCCCGGTTGCTCTGCACCTCGGCCTTGAACTTCATGTTGAGCGCCTCGCACAGCTGCGGCCACAGCACTTTGTCGGGCACGGCGAAGGGCACCCTGCCCTGAGGGGACGAGGAGAAGGGGAGGGTGCGATTGAGGGAGCAGGACATATTCTCACGCTAACACAGACACACAGACACAGAGACAGACACACAGATACCGAGGGACAGAGGGGACTGAGGACAGAGATCAGGGACCCAAACCCCAAGCCTAAGGAAGATCTGGGGCCAGATCCCCAAGGCCACGCTCATGGACCTGGGTGACCCTAATCCTAAGCTGGGAGCCAGGACACAGCCGAGGGCAGGGCTCTCCCACCAGCTGCCCCTCTCCGCTCTCCTCGCTCAGGCTGGGCCAGGGCTGGGGGAGGACCGACGCTCGGCAGGGCCCGGAGGGGTTGGGAGTGACCCCGGGAGGTCCCAGGCTCCGGAGACGGGGCCCCGTGGGACTCACCGGCTCGGCGAAGGCGTTGTCCCACAGCACGGTGGCCGTGGCATTGTGGTCCTGGCTGCCGTGAACAATGACAACCACGGGGAGGGACAGGGTCTAGGGGAGTCCAAAGAATGGGAGTTGAGGGCACAGGACCACCCTCTTGCCCTCGGCTTTGGGCCAGACTCCCCACCCTCACTGCTTCCCCACAGGCCCCTCCCGTCAAAACCAAAGCAAAACACACACACACAAAGCACGTCGTCTTTCCTCTCGGCCCGCCGCCCAAGTTCTGTGGGCTGGTGCCCGGCCAGCACACAGCCCGGCACACGGGCACCAGCAGAGAGGACGCAGGCTTTCCGAGGGCATCACAGGGCATCGGAGTCGGAGCTCTCTGTCTTTCCCAAACCAGCCGGGCGGCCCGGGCAGACCCCTTCGCTTTCCGGGGTGGCCCGCGGGCGAGGGGGCGCGTGCCTCACCTTCACCTGGAACACGAGCTCGTTGCTGCCCACGCTGAACTGGGACTCGAACAGGACCGTGAACTTCTCCTCCGTCACCGACTCCGCGCCCCGCCGGTCCGCACGCTTGATCCTCTTCAGTGACTGCATTGGGGCCGGGGCGGGGCGGGGGACAGGCGCTGGTTACGGGGACCGAGCTCCGGGCAGACCTCCCCTCCCAGGGCCGGGCCATCCTCACCATGTTCCTGAAGTGGGCGCTGAGGGTGCCGGTGGCCTGGTGGTACTCCATGACGCAGCAGTTGTTCAGGATGTCGCCGCTGCTCTCGCTGTGGGAGAGAGGGGCGCCCCGTGTCCACACCGGCCCCGGCCAGGAGCACGGCCCTGGTGGGTCTCGGCATTACTTCCTCATCAGCCTGACTGTGCCCAACGGCCTTCAAGGGTGGGGTCCGGGTCTCTCTCATGAGGTTCAATGACCTTGGGCATCAAGACTGACGTGAGGCCCGTCCGCTTCTAGTGCGCTTAAGATCGTGACCACAGCCTGCAAGTATCCCCATGACCACCCCTGCCCCCTCCCGGGCCTCACTGGGGTCCTCTTCCCGTATCCAGAATAAGCCGGCCCTGCTGCCTCGTCAGGGTGCTGAACAGGCAAGCTGGGCCACTCTCCGGCTCCTGCACTCACTCTTCCTGTTGCCCCAGACATTCCTTTTTAAAATATTACATATAGTATCTATATCTCCCTTCCCCCCCCCCCCCCATTGACCTTCCCCCAGCCTCCCTTACCCCTTGTTGCATGCCCTCACCCCCATTCCCCCGCCCCCAGTGTTTTGTGCCCATGGGTGTGCTTACAGGCATGCATACTAGTCTTTTGGTCGATCTGTTTCCCTCCCTCCCCAACACTCCCCGCTGTAATCTGACAGTCTGTTCGGTGCTTTACTGCCTCTGTAGGCTTGACCTCCTCCTTCAGGTCTCCGTTCACATATCCTCTCAGAAAGGCCTTCCTCGCCCACCCGCGTGGTGTGGATACGTCCGTCCGGACGCCGGGACGGACCCTGTCTTAATCTCCTTTCTGTGGCGTGTCGCTTTCTGACACCGCCTGCTTTCAAACGCCCAGGACCGCCTCCCTCCCCAGCCAGAACGTGAGGCTAAGAAAGTGAGACCCCCTTGGCCTCCTTCCCCACCCGACGCCCAGACCACAGGGCGGGCCCTCCGTCCACACAGCCGTCTCCCACGTCCCACATCCGCTCCTCATCCTCTCAGGCTCCGCACCCTGTGAGCGGCCAGCCCTGGGCGCCCTGCCGCACACACACCTTCCGGACAAGATCCTCTGCCCGCCCCGGGCTCCCGCACTAGCTGCCTCCCCTTCACCCTGCGGCCTGAGACCGAGTATCACGGCTCCGCCTCCATCACGACCCACTCCCACACGCCTCCCCCATCGCTCCCCGGCCGTCCATCATGCCTGCTGCCTGCTCTTCTAGCCAAGCACAACCACGTTCTGTCTGGATTATACCATGTCCCGGTGCTTAGCACAGGTTCTGGGACACCCCCGCAGGGCATCCTGGTTGACCTACTGGGTGCTGAGCACAGTAAGGACGGGGGAAGGCCTCTGTTCAGGAGGAGCAGAGTGAACACCCGGACAGACAGAATGAGCAGGAGAGACACCGGACAGTGTTTGGCCGAATGCCGTCCCGTCACCAGGCCTCCCTCCACGTGCAGGGCTGAGGCGGCCCCCGACGGAGCCCCGAGTCAGGCCCCGGAGAGGAGGGGCGCACGTACTTGCGGGTGTTCTCGTTCTTGAGCAGCGACTTGGCCTGCTGCTCGCTGATGATGGTGGCCTTCACCTGGGGCGGGTTCATGTGCACGTTCAGCTTCCCCCCCACCAGCAGGCGCACGGTGGCTGCGAACTTGGTCTGGGTCTTCAGCACCTGCGGGGGCTGCTTCTCGATGATGAACGTGCTGCGGGACCCAAGGGCGAGACGCTGCCTCAGGGGCCGGGCCTCCCGCAGGGCTCGGCAGGCAGAGGGAGGGCACGGGGCCTGGGAGACCCTGCGAGGGGATGGCGGGAGGGGAGGCCGGGAAAGGGACTGGGCAGCGGGCACGGGTGCAGGAAGCAAGGGCAGCCCGGGGAGCGCTCACAGGGACAATGGGGACAGAAGGAAAAGGGTGTGAGCAGACAGACGAGGATTCCAGTGAGAGCCCTCCTGCCCCCCATCTGCAAAGCACCCACTGCTTCCCCCAGCCAACTCCATGCGGGGCTGGGCGGGGCCGAGAGGCTGCAGTCACCTGGTCACCAGGGCTGAGATGATGTCTGTGATGGTGGCATTGACCTCCGCCAGCATCTCCTCCACGGGGCCGGGGATGGGCAGCTGCTGGCACAGGTGCTCCGCTCTGCGGATCTGCTGCCGGTTCTGCCAGATGATCTCGGCCAACTTCTCACACCTGCACGCCCGCCGCGGGGCCAGAGGAGAGGACAAGGCCTTCACCCCTCCCCCAGGCCACAGGGGAGAGGCGCCCGGCTGGGGGGAGCCCCCCAGGACCCAGCCCCACCTCCCCCAGGAAGGCTTGGCACCTCAGCGCCCACTCCTGTCCACTGGGCAGAGCAGGACAGGGGCTGCCCTGACTTCCAGAAACACAGACGCCCAGGAGGCGGGACCCTGATGTGTACCCAACCAGCCCGAGCACCTGGCCCTGCCCACCCCCAGCACAGTGACCCCCGCCCAGGGAGGGCATGACTGCGGCTCCCAGGTCTGTGTCGGGAGCCAGACCACGGGTGAAGCAAGACCTGCCACGGGACAGAGCGAGCGGCTGCACATGGAAACACGGAGCAGAATGAGCAGCTGGTAGACCACCCCGAGCCCCTGCCCCCCTCCCTGCCGGCCCGGCCCCCACCCCCATTACCAGGACTGCAGCACGTCCAGGCTGCCCTCAGGGGGGCCCCCATTCCCGGCCAGCTGCTGCCGCCGCTTCCACTGGATCAGCTCGTCGTCCAGGATGATGGTCTGCTGCTTCCGCAGCAGCTGCAGGGTCCGCTGGTGCTTCTCGGCCAGCTCCTGAGGGGGGGGCAGGCTCGCTCAGGAGGCCGGTCCCCCCAACCCCCGCCTGCTCTGCCTCACGGGCCCCACAGGCCCCCTGCCGCCCACCCGGGGTCCTGGCCCCCCACCCGGGGTCCTGGCCGCCCACCCGGGGTCCTGGCCGGCTCCTCTCTCGGTCCCGGCAGCTCAGGACGCGGCCCCCACGCCCGGAGGACGGCCGCCACTCACCACGCGGTACTGCTGCAGCGTCTGCGCCTCGCGCTGCAGCCAGGCCTCCAGGGACGCCTGCTTCTGCTGCAGGGCCGTCTCCCGGCTCAGGCGCTCCTGCGGGGTCAGCTGGGCCAGCTGGGCGAACTGGGCTGCGGGGGGACAGCACACCCGTGGCCACGGTGCCCGGCTCCCAGCAGGAAACCCAGAGAAGCCACGCTCCCTCGCTCCGCAGACAAGACCCTCCGGGGGACGTTTCTGACGACGGCAAGTCAGGGGTCTGGCAGCCCAGGGCCCCAGAGGAGCCGGCGTCACTGCCTGGCCCCCAACGCTGAGCTCCCCTCCAGAGACCGGGAGGCAGAAGCTGTGGGTGCAGCTGAGGAGGGTGCTCCCGCCCTCGCCCGCACAGCCGGGCCCAGCCCTCCTCAGCCACCTCGGGGTCCAGCCTGGAGCCACGCTGCCTCGTCTGCCTCGGCCTGGCCACTGGCTAGCTGGGTGGACTCGGGGAACCCCTTCTCTCTCCTGTGCCTCAGTCTCCCCGGGTGCACACGGGGAAGCCCGCTCCCTGCCTCAGCGGGCTGCGTGGGGACAGAAGGCTGACATGGAGAACGCTCAGGAAGCCGCTGGCACGGGGAAGCTCCTGGTGAGACTGGTCCTTGCTGCTCCATGGGCTGCAGGACAGGCCTGAGGGGAGGGACCCGCAGCTCCCAGCCCCCCCTCACCCGCAGGCCTGGCCTCCTGGGGAGGCTCTGCTCCCGGCCTGGCCGCCTCCAGGCACAGCTCCTCTCCTCGGGGGGAGGAGTGTCTCTGCCCAGGAAGGCGCCCAGCACGTGTGTCCAGGTTGGGGCACGGTGAGCTCAGCCGGCCAACAGGACGAGGAGAGAGAGAAGATGGAGAAGAAAGAAGAGGGGGGGAGCGGCCTACACAACAGCAGCGAGACTGGCGCCTCCTGCAGTGGCTCAGCTGCCTGAGCATCCTCTGGTGCCCCCAACAGCCAGGGCACCCACAGAGGGCAAACGCTCAATGTTTTCCCTCTCTGTCCTCAGGTGGGGATTTAAAATTAACTAAATAAGTTAAGAAGAAAAAAAAAGTAGGAATATTCTCTGAGGAAAAAGAGGCAGCTCGCCTCATATCAGTGTGAGGAAGCTCAGCAATGGCAGGAATGGGGAGTCAGGGAGGCACAGTTATCCTCGTAAAAACATCAGCTATGAAATACGTACGACACAGGGGAGGCAGAAAGAACCACATAGAAACACCTGTGACTTCATGACCAGCTTAAGAAATCCAGCATTTCCCAACCACAGCCACCGCCCACCCCCACAGCCTGCAACCCCATTCCCCACCCCACCCCCGCCAGGGGAGCCGCTGCCCTCCGTCTGGGGTGATCATGCGCAGCCAATGGCCATTGGGAACTCCCAGGGTCCTTCCTCGGGCTGAGTCAAGGCGAGGTGAGCATCAGCACGTCTTGGTCCAGCTCCTGGCAGGCCTCTGAGGCCCATGTCACCCTGACCGAGGCCCCGCCCCAAGGTCACTCAGGCTGGGACGGACCAGAGCAGCTCCGGACCGCCAGGAAGAGCCCGGCCGAGGAGGGAAGGCGGAGACCTGGCTCCCCTCTCCCCGCAGGGGCCCGGGCGGGAAGGGCAGCGTCCAGCGGGGAGCCAGCGGGGGCCCTGGGTGCCGCCTCGGGAGCCCCGCCTCCACAGGGCGGGGGGCGGGGGCGTCCCCAACACCTGGTCCGGCCTCCCTCTGGGAGCGACCCGGTTAGTCTCTCCTGTTGACGGGCAGGCGTTTCTGGGAAGGACGCCAGGGGAGGTGGGGCAATTGTCTGCTCCGCTGGAGGGAACGGAGCCTTCCCTGCACAACAGATCGATAGTCTGTGTTTCTGATGGGGAACCTGGTAAGTGAGACCGAACTGACATTGCGTGAGGGGTACGAACCCAAACCAGAACCCAAACCCAAACCCACACACAGGAAACGGAGAACCAGGAACGGGATCATCGACGTGGTCACCGGTGCCCGGCCTGGGACAGAACTGATAGCGTGGCTACCCTGTTGCCCCATTTGGAAGTGGGCCTTTTCTGTGGGGCCAGTCAGGTATGGAAGCCGATGGGAAGAAGACATGCTAGAATCATCCCACCGACATCTATTCCACACCTGCTGTGACTCAGGCCATGTGCTGGCCGCAGAAAACACTGACAGGGCAGGGTTAGGAGGAAAGCTAACAAGGCAAATGAAAAGAGAATCCTACGAAAAGTTAAATAATAATAAAAGGAAAAAATAGAGAAATGAAAACCGGATAAGAACGAAACTGAAAATAAGTACTGAAATACAGACCTCAATACCACTGTATTAAATGTTACATTAAATATCATTGGACTAAACACCTTGACTAAAAGCAGTGGTTGTCAGATATGCTGTCTACGTTTAAAAATTTTTTAAAGCATGGAAAAGATATGCTGTGCCAATAGAGAACTGGAAGGCTTGAGAAGTTATGTTAATTTCTGATAAAGTAGACTTCAAGACAAAGAGCATTACCAGAGACCGAGAAAGATCTTTCATAATTATTAAAGTGTCAATCAATAGACAATTGTCATAAATGTATGTGCATCTATTAACAAAGCTTCAAAAATACATGAAGGAAATATTTACAGGAATAATTGGAGAAGTACACAATTCCACAATATAACAGGAGATTTTGATACCTCTCTTCCAGCATCTAATAGAACTTTTAGGCAAAAAATAAATAACGACATAGATCCATGGTTCTCTAAGAGGACCACGGATGCCTGGAGGGTTCCCAAGACCCTTATAGGAGTTCCACAAAGCCAAAACTGTTTTCAAAAATCACAAGACTTTGCCTTTTTCTTTTTTAGTCTCATAATTATACAGTGGCATTTTCAAGAGGCTGCAAGATATATGATATTACAACAGATTGAAAGCAAGATCCAGCCATCTCCCTAGCACTGAAGAGATGTGTAAAAATGTATAGCAATGCCCCTCTACTTACTATACTTTGTTCTGGAAAATATAGATTTATTTTACTTTACTTTTTTATACAATTTTATTATGTTAACATGATAAACATATGTACTGAATATATTTTAAATATTTATAGTGTTTATATATGTTACACAAATATAGCTATATTATATACAATGTGCAAAATATATATTATATAAATATTTATAACATACATTTAAGTATTTTTTATAATAAGAATGGTTATATTTGTTAACATTATGGAATTTATTATTTGCTGCTTTTTAATGAAACACAGCAGAAAATACATTCTTTTCAAGTCCACCAGATACACTCACCAAGACTGAACATATGCTGGGCCATAAAACAAGTCTCAATAAATTTAAAAGAATGGAGATCATACAGAGTACGTTCTCTGACAACGATGAAATTCAATAATGAAATGGAAAATGAAATCAATAATGGTATGACATCTAGAAAAAATATCTGGATATTAAACAATACCCTTCCAAACGCATGTGCAAAAGAATAAGAAGAGAAATTAGAAAATACTCCAGACAGAATGATAATGAATAGACAGCATATTCAAAATCAGGAGAGGCAGCTAAAACACTGCTAAGAGGGAAGTTTATGGCCCTGAGTCCATGTTCTAGGAAAGAAGAAAGGTCTAAAATCAATTACCTGAAGAAGCCAGAAAAAGAAGAGCAAAGGAAAAGATAGCCTGACACCTCCTGTTCTCACTAGGATGGGGTGGGACAGCCCTGGGAGACAGGAGAGTTGTCCACTGTCCCCTCCTCCTTCCAGCCCCAGCTCCTGTAAGGAGGACTAAAGAAGGGGCGTGCCTGGAGTCCCACCTCTCTCAGCCTGGGCCAGTCTGGGAACTCTCAACCCAGATGCTCCCTCTGACTGGGGAACACTCTGCCCATATTCATTTCTTCATTGAGATAGTCACTGACTACCTACAATTAGGGAGACAATACTGGTTAATAAAGTACAGTGATTTATAAGCAACTCAGGCCACGTAACTTGCTCTCTTTGAACCTCAGTTTTACCATCTGCAAAAGAGAGATAATGCAACTCCCTACATCCTACAACTGCTTGTTGTGAAGGCTGAATGGAGTCATGCATGCAAAAGGCTTAGCCCGGAGCCTGGCCTGCAGCGAGGGCTCCGTCCCCCAGGCTCTGGGAAGGTTCCAGGACACAGACACGACCTCATCCCACCCCTGCAGGAGCTCACAAAGTGGTCCTCGCTCCCATCCTCACGATGCACACCACCCCCGCTGCTGCAGCCTCACCTTGGATCCGCAGGCTCTCCTGGTACTGGATGATGAAGTACTCCTGCGTCTGCTGCAGCTTCTTCAGTTCGTTCTCCGTGTCCTGCGTGACCAGCCGCAGCTCCTCGAAGGTCTGGTTGATCTGAAGGTGCTTCTGGGACATGGCGTCCACCAGCATCCCAACGGGAGAGGCGCCCTGGGGACATATCAGACACGCAGGCCGCAGTGAGCTGGGCAGGGAGGATGTAAGGAAACCTCGGGCTTGGGGGAATGCCAATACTATACAGACCCCAAACTCTGACTCTAGGGTCAAAAGGAAGGGCGAGTTGAGCCAGAAGGATCGTCATTGGTCAGAACGAGGGTGGAGGGGACCAAGCAGGAGGAGAGACATGTGAGCCGGCAGACTGTGGAATCTACCTACGGAATCTTCGCAGCAGAAGCTTCGATTGCCGTTCTGGCCTCCACCGGAGTATCCCAAACACGCTCTCTTCTAAATTCTCTTCGAAGAGACTAGAACCCAACACCTCCCAAGAGTTAACTGGGTTTTCCTACTAATGATGAGGCCCCCTCCTTCCACACTCTTTCACTGACCCGATGCCATGGGCTGTGCTAGGTGCTGGGGACAGCGTGGGGAACAGGCTAGGTCGGTCGGTAAACCGAGGCTTGCAAGCTGTGGTTTGCTGCTCTGTTGACTAATGAGTTTGCCGACCACTAGGAGATGATGGGCTTAATCACCAGGAACAGCAACAGCCTGCAATTACTGGAATCGAGAGTCTAGGTCAGTGGTCGGCAAACTCATTAGTCAACAGAGCGGCAAAGCCAGCCTCTGCTCCCACAACAGCTACTTTCTGTCCCTTAAACACACAGCACGTCGCTGCCTCGGGGCCTTTGCACTTCTTGTTCCATCACTCTGGAACATTCTGGCACCAGATCTTCCCAAGGCTGGCGCTTCAACTGGTACCTTTTCAGAGTGACCTTCTCTGAAGGGCCAATTCCAAACAGCACCACCCTTATCTGAGAGTGGCTAGCTCTTGGGTTTACTTCTTCCTTTTCTTTTTAAATATTTTCATTGATTTCAGAGAGGAAAGGAGAGAGAGACATGAAAACATCAACAATGAGAGAGAATCGTTGATGGGCTGCCTCCTGCACATCCCTCCTGGGGATCAAGCCCACAACCCTGGGCGTGTGCTCTGACTGGGAATTGAACTGTGACCTCCTGGTACATAGGTTGATGCTCAGCCATCTTTCTTGTCTGCCTCCTTGCCCTAGGATGTGAGCCTTCTAAGTGCCAAGACATCGTCTGTCTTGTGCATCACCAAATCATCAAAGGTGTCCAAGAACAGCCTCATGGGCTAGGAGAAAGAATGATCCCATCCCCTGAACTCCCCTCCCCCAACCATGTCAACACCTGCTCATGGACACGTAGTTCCTAACTGGCGCCTAACTCATTTGTATGTTTACAGCCAAGGGACTCCAGGGCTGTCCTGGAAGACCCTCTGGCTTCTGCTTCCTCTCTGGCTTTCCCCATCAGGACTCCCCACTGGGCTCCCCTCTCCCCAGGTGCACTGACTATTTGCAAGTCTTCAAATATGATAAGATGGCTCTTGCCTTCCTGCCCTCACAAATACTGTTGTAATTTTCACTATAATCTCTTCCCACCTCCTCCCTCCTGCTTTCTCCACTGTAGTTCAGACCTCTCCTTCCTCAGGACACGCCCGCTGCCGCCTGCCCCAATTTGAGCTGGGTGCTTTTCCCCACATATGCCTCCTTAGCCCTCCATTCACCGCTAGACAGTCAGTCAGCACCCAGACTCCCCGGGGACAGGTCTTTATCTGTCAGGCCTAGCCCAGGGCCAGACGCACCGCGGACCTCAGTACAGGTTTACGGAATGAACTGCCCAATTCCCGAGATCAGTGTTCACAACAACAAATAGATAATACATATGACCTGTGCTCCCGGCACTATTCGGCGGTCTTTCCCTGTGTGATGTCATTTTATGAAATTCATTTTGCTTTATCGCAGGTAGCATAACATTGGTACCATTGTCTGAGCAGATGTTCGACGCCTTTATGATTCCAGAACCTGGGGAATGAGTCCCTATTCTGCCTCTCTGGGCCTCACTTCTCTGAGCTTGACTGTGTTAATTTTCTGACACAGACCTTGGCTCCATTTCTCCTCACAGACCATCCCAGAGAAGATTTCTTATGTGGCCCTGACCCATTTATTGAATGACAAATCTTTTCCCTGGTGATTTGTAATGCCATTTCTGACATAGACTGAGATTCCAGCTGTGTGTGTGAGTGCGTGTGTGTGTGTGTGTGTGTGTGTGTGTGTGTGTTTGTGTGTGTGTGTTTAGGACTTCCTCTTCTGTGTCATTGGTCTGTTTGTCTGTCCCTGGCCCATATAGCATCTCATTTAATGCCACAGTAATCCTGCAAGGTAGGTACGAACACCATCCCTGCTTATAATTGAGGAAACATAGGCTCAGAGAGGTTAAGTTAACTTGTTCAAGTTACACAGCTAGAAAGTGAGGGAGCCAGGGACTGAAGCCAGGGGTCACTCCACACCTGCAAACAACACTGTTCCTCACACCTGCTCGTGTCTCTTATTTCCCTGGTGTTCTCTCATGCCCGTATGTATAAGGCGAAGTTGTGTCCGAAGAGAAAAGCCTTCCCAGCTCCTCCCCCCACACCCAGGGGGCACTCACGTTGTTGGCTTCTCGGACCAGCCTCTGCTCATTGTACAGAATGTGCCGGATGCAGCGGACCAGCTCCAGGGGGCAGCGGTCATACGTGTTCTGAAAGAATCCAAGAGCAGCTACCAGTAGCCATCCTCTGTGCCTACCATGCCTGTCACCGTGGCATGCCCACACCTTCCTCTCCTCCAGTCCTGCCTCAGCTTCTCCCCCACCACCACCCAGAAGTCTCTGGAACTGTCACCACATACCTCTGTCTCTCCTTGACTTGATTTCCCCCTCCCAGATCTCCGTTTGGTTGGCAGTGCATTAGAAACCCACTTTCAATCCATCATCCCCTGTGACTTTCCTATCAACGAAACCCTATGACATGGCAGAAATGACTGTCCCCATTTCGAAGATGAGAAGACCGATGCTTGGCGAGGTTCAGTGCTTATACAGAGTGAAGCAGATGAGTGAGCAGATGACTCAGACCTCAGAGCCCCTCATGTCGAGGTGAAGGAACTTTCCACCGTGCTCCAGCTCTGGGTTCCTATTCTGCTTCCTTCTTTGCCCCAGGTTTCTCCTGTTTCCTCCCTCTGGTGGGATGGGCTTTTTATTTCCCTGGCACCCAGCTGCTTATGTCTAAAAGTGGTTCTCTGAGAAATACGAGTGACTTCCAATAAATGCCTGACTATGATTACTACCCACACCCCTTTCCTGCTCCCACTAAAACTTCCTCTCTCCCCCCTCCTCCTCCCCCCTCCCCCCAAGGGAAGGAGAAGGTACATCTTCCATCTCAACCCTCATTCAAGGCTCTTTCAGCTGACAACTCTGCGCCTCTCCTGTCCCCCTTCCAGACCCCCCCCCCCCCGTCCCTCCACCTGAGAGGGATGTCTGGTGGCCTCACTCCCTCACTTCTAGAATCTGTCCCTCCTCCTTTCTCCTATAAAGGAATCCTGCTTGATCTGTCCAGAAGGCGGTTTCACCCATCCTCCTCCTCTTGGGGACAAGCACCCCCCCCCACACACACACTTCTCGCTTTGTAATATGCTAAAGGGACCCAACAGGTCTGGTTCAGAAAGAGGGGGTGGGGGAAATCGAAGGGCAGAAAAGTTGCCCATAAGGTCGAGGCCACACGGTGAGTCAGGGAGTGTCCAGGCCAGGAAAAACCCAGGGGCTCTGACGCTGGAACCAGAAGGCGGACACTGCCTCCCTGCCCACGACCCCTGCTCACACCCACCTGGAGCTGCTTGGCGTAGTGCCCCAGCTTGATCTTCAGCAAGAACCCGTCTTCCCCCACCTGGTGCTCCGCCTTCTTCTGCAGCTCCTGCACCAGGCCCTGCAGGAGCTGGGAGGCCTTGTCTTGGTCCTGGTGATTTTCTGGATCGATGGCATCCCTTGGGGCGGGGCAGGGTAGAGAAGAAGCCTTCTGTGGTGCAAGGAAGCCAGGCAGCCAGCGGGACTCGGAAACCCCAAGCTCCTGACTAAGAGGGCTCTGGCGCCCACAGGCCTTGTTCCTGGCAGCGCCAGGGGCATCGGAGTCCAGAAACACCCCCTCTCCCTTCCCAGGCTCCCCTTTCCCCGCCCCCCTATCCCACGACCATGGAGCCTGGCCCCTTCCTCCCAGAAAGGAGCAGACAGGACCAGATTAACACCCACCCGCACGGAGGAGGAGACCTAACGGCCCAGGGGCCTGGATGGCAGGGTCCGGGGCACCAGGAGGGAGGAAGCCAGCGGAGGGGGGGGGGTTCGAGGGGGCACCTACCAGGGCTGGCTCTCGATCCACTGGGCCAGGTAGTGGCGCACCTCGATGGGGAAGTGCTGGCCGTACAGCACCTGCATCTGGCGCAGCGCATCCCCCTGCAGCTGCTGGGCCTGGATCCAGCCCGCCATGGCCGTTCACCTGGGGGGTGGGGGGAGCGGAAGAGGGGGTCGAGCAGATGGCCGAGGAGGCGCCTTGGCCGGGCAGGAGCGAGGAGCGAGGAATGGCTGGGCCTGGCCCCGGCTCTGCCATGCCCACCCGTGCCCGGGCCGCCGGGAGGCCCCTCCCTCCCGCAGACACGCTTTCCTGTGCGGGAAGAGAGATGGTGAGGAGGGGAAGGCCGCCCTGCCCTCCAACGAGGAACCCGCGGCGGCCTGGGGAGGGCCCCCCCCCGAGAGTCAGGTGCCCTCCTCTTCCTCTCCCCTCGCCCCACCGGGGCTTCCCCGGACGGGGTGGGGTGGGGGGACAGCTAAAAACTGAAAGAGAAACTTGCCCGCCGTGGCCCTCGCTGGGACCTCTCTCTGCAAGAACCCCCCGAGGGCACTGCCGAGGACCCTGGGTACCAGTTTCTGGGGAGGAGGGGTAGCCCAGCCCAGCGCCGCGCTCCCCACGGCGCCCCCTGGACGGCGGGGTCCCCCGGGCACGTGGCCCGAGCGGCTCGGAGAGGGCTGGGGAGACAGGCGCTCCCTCCCTCCCTTCGGCGGTGGCGCCCGAGCCGCTGCGCCCCGCGATCCCGCTCCCCCGGCCCGGAGCCCGACAGCGCCCCCTGCGCCCCGAGCGCGGGGACGACGCCCCCCCAGCGGCGCCTCCCTCGGTCCGCGCCCCCCGGCGGAGCGGCGCCCCAACTCCCTCCCGGGCGCGGGGACCGGTCCCCGCTCCCCGCTCCCCCCCGGCCGGCCGTCGGGCTCGGGGCTCGGGGCTCCGGGCTCGGGGCTCCGGGCTCCGGGCGCGGGGCCAGCACGGGAGCCCGTGTCCCCTCGGCGCGCACCCCGCCCGGGACGCGCGGCGCGGCCACCCACCTGGCGGCACCGGCCGTCCGGGCGGCGGGCGGCTCTGGGCCGCGGCTCTCCTCCGGCCCGGCTCCCGGCGGCGGCGGCGGCGGCGGCTGTTACTACAGGAAGGAGCAGAGAGCAGCGATTTCCTCCTCAAAGGTCAGCTGCCTCCGATAGACCATACACAGCGCGCGAGCGCTCGCCAGCACCCCTCCCCGCGGGCTCCCTCCCGCCCCCGCCCCGCCCCGCCCCCGCCCTCGGTCCCGGCTCCCCCGCGGGCCAGTGCGCCGCGGCGGCCGCGGCCCTGGCCCCGCGCGGCCGGCTGGGCGGGGGCTGCCCCGACGGCGGGGTCCCCCGGGAGGGAGCCCCGGCCTCGGACCCCGCGGCGAGGCTGGGGCGCGGGAAAGGGGGTGTTTTGGGGCTGGGAAATCCCGGGCGCTTGGAAATCCCAAACCCACGGGCCTCAGTTTCCTCATCCGTAAGAAAGGGAGGGAGAGAGGGCTGGACCGTCTGGAGAGGCGGCATCCGTCATCGCTCGGGGTCTCCAGGTTGAAAATGGAAATGTGTGTGTGTGTGTGTGTGTGCGTGCGCGCGTGTGGGCTGGGGACGCGGCTTCGGTGTCTTCAGACGCAAAGCCCTCGGGAGGGGAAAGACTGGGGATTCCAGAGAAGCCTGCTCACGCCAGCCCCACCGCCCCTCCTTCCACGACTCCTGTGGCCTCGCACTCACCCTCTGCAGCTGAAAAAGAACCTTGGCGGTCATGAGTGGAACCCCCCGTCACCCCCCCCCCCCCCGATTTTGCAGACAAGTCCAGAGAGGGGAAGGGGCTTGACCAGCGTGACACAGTGGGCACACAGCCTAGTTGGCAAACTATGGTCCATAAATGACCCTGCCCCTCCCCTCACCCGAGCCCAGTCCCATCGGAAGCTGGTTCTACCTTCAGGCAGGTCCAGGGAGGGCTCCCTTGGATCCTAAGGCTCGGGATGGCCTGCAGGCCCCGCCAGAGCAGGGAACACCCTTCCCAGGCCTTGCCTGGGTCGCAGCCCCTCCCTGAGGGCCCCCGGAGGGGCCTGCAGAGTTGGGCAAGGCTGGACTGGAAGCCTTCCATCCCCTTTGCCCAGTTTCCCTCTCCTCTAGGCCTCCTTCTGCCTGGCAGCTGGTATTGGCAGCAGCAAGCTAGGGGCCAGGCTGGCTGCCCTCTCAGGGCCAAGCCGAGCCAAGACTTCTGGGGGGAGGGGGGCAGGGATTATTCTCTCCCACCACCCTTTTCCATTCTCTTCCCCCTGGTAGGCCTGCCCTTTTCCATTCTCTTCCTCTTTCCCCTTCTCCACCTTCGTTCCCCTCGCCTCCTCCCCTCCCTCCTCCTTTTTACGTCAGAGAAAACCCCGGAGTTAGAAGCTGCAGGAGGAGCTGGAATGCCTGGGACCCACATACACACACTTCCATGTGTGGTCGCAGTCTGAGCTGGCAGGTCCGTGAGGAAAGGAATTGAAAACTGTGGAGGGGGTTCCCAGAGGATCGAGGGAACCTTGCTCTTTAGATGCTCCGCCGGGAAGCCCCTGGGAGGAGGAAGCCCGGGCCTCCCCCTCCCGCTGCCCCCCACTCTGTGCAATGCATCTGGCAGAGGAGGTTCAGAGGCCCAGAGCTGGGGGCCCCTGCAATAAGGTCAAGTGCCAGAGCTGGAAACAACCGTAAATATTTTACAAATGGGGAAACAGAGGCTGGAGAGGGGAAGTGACTTGGCCAGTGTCACGCAGCCTGTCAGCAGCAGATCCAAACCCAACGTGGCACCTGCGCCCTCCAGCCTCTCACGAGGAGCAGGTGGGCACGTCCGTCGGTGGGAGCAGGTTCCTGGATTTCCACGTCCTCTGAGTCGTATCTGGAGATGTACCCACATCTGGGCTTCTGGAGAGGATGACACGGGGGTGCGGGCTCCAGAGTGGGACCCCTGCCTGCCCACTTCCAGGCAGCCACCTCTCCCGCCTCCTCCCCAGGGCCTACAGGGGCCTACTAGCTGGCAGCCCCACCCACCCACAGAACATCTGGCTGGCTGGGGCCGGGCTTGGCTAGGGGTTGGGCAGTCCCGAGTCCTAAAAAGGTAGCATGGAAGTCCCAGTGAACAAAACTGGAGGGGCGAGCCTACAAGGACATGCTGCAGTGCCCTCAGAGCCCCCGTGTGCTCCTCCTCACGTTGTGTCCCGTGATGCATTCTGGCTCCCCCAGACTGTGAGGCTCTGCTTCTTTATTCTTCTCCTGTTCTCTCTCTCTCTGGGCCTCTCTCGCTCCCCGGTTGACTCAGTCTGGGTTTCTCTCGTCTCTTGGTGCCTCTGTTCTCCCGTAGAGATGCGGTGGGGAGGGGAGGAGCTTTGGAGCTTTCCCAGGATGGGCAAAGGCCGCCCAAAGGAGTGGACGAGGAAAGGGTGTCAGAGTTGGGTTGGGGGGCAGAGGTGACTGTGGTCATGGCTCCGGATAACACAGCTACCCAGAAATGTCAAACTTGGGGTTTCTTTTTGCTTTCAGTCCCCTGGTTTGGTCTCTGCTATTTCTTACCACAAAGCACCCCGGTGGTTTTAGAGGCCCAGACGATAGAGGAGAAAGACTGAGGCCCAGGGGATGGGGTTTAGGAAGGTCAGAGACTGCGTAGGGTGCGGACTGAGCCGGGGGTCCCAGGATGCCCCCCCCAAATGCCCCCTCAGCCCCAATTCCAAGTCACACTAGTACACAGGGAGTGAGGAAGGATGAAAATATGTGTTACATGTAAAAATAACATGATTGAAGAAACATCTTACGGGTATACAGTCCTTCAAAGAAGATGACCATATTTTATTAGGAACAGTCACGATCCCTGGCCTAGTCTGTAGTTAGCACAGTGTGCACACATCCTGGAATGAATCATGGTATCGTTGTGTGCAAACATGTTTACACACCTCAACTCAACTCATCCTTGCAGTAACCTTGAGGGTAGGCACAGCTAGAAGCACCCCCCCCCCTTTTTTTTTTTAAATATATTTTCTTAATTTTTTACAGAGAGGAAGAGAGAGGGATAGTTAGAAACATCAATGAGAGAGAATCATTGATCAGCTGCCTCTTGCACACCCCCTCCTGGGGATGTGCCTGCAACCAAGGATCATTCTCTTGACCGGAATCGAACCTAAGACCTTTCAGTCCGCAGGCCGACGCTCTATCCACTGAGCTAAACCAGTTTCAGCAAGAAGCAGCCCCTTTGATGAGTTCAGGAGAGAGGCCAGGGAATGCACGTTGCTTGGCCCCATGGGAAGGGTCTCTGCCGTAGAACCTTTCTCGACCTCCCCCATCCCCAGCACACACCCACGGAGTGACGATGTCCCCTGTGACTGGGCCAGCCCACCACTGTTCCGTGGCGCTTCCCGTGGCACACCCACCTCCAAGTCAGCCCCGGCCCCTGCTGTGTGGAATGAGGCCGATGACTGCATGTTGCTGTGAGTTGATGAAGGAAGGAAAGAGCTTTCTCACGTCCCTTTGCTGCCCTGTCCTTGGAGACCAGGTTGGCAGAGAAGGCCCTGCGGATGCCCCTACCCTGGGGAGGACAGACAGAGGTCACCTTGACCTAGCCGTCCCTGGGAGGGGGCGAGGGGGGGGCACAGCACAGAGATGCCTTTGTTTCCTCTGCTGCAGGTCCCTTCTTCAAGGAGAGTTCCTGTTGTGCAAGAGCCAGGGGAAGGTGGGGGGGAGGTGAGGAGCCTTCCCCAGTAGGCTGGAGGTGGTCCAGGGAGGATCTCTGCTCAGTGGAGAAGGGAGAGCTGAAGCCCTTAGGCTCCTAAAGGTCCTGCCTCACCCCCAGCACGCCTTCCCCACAACGTCCCCCTCCATGCCAGCTCCCACCCCAAGGTGGCTGGAAGGCGGCCGTAGGCCCATCCTCAGCGTATATATATATACGGATACCGCCCCCCCCCCCCCAGACCAATGTCCCTGCCTCTCCTCACCCTGGCACCTCCCTGTGGGAACCTGCCCCCATGCTGCTTCATTAGTTCAGGAAACAGCTGCCTGGCCCCGGAATGCAGGCCTGGCTCCAGCATCCAGCTGCCTGGCCCAGTGGGAAGGGTCTCGACCATAGAACCTTTCCTGACTTGCCCCATCCCCAGCACACACCCACGCGGAGTGAGGATGTCCCCTGTGGCTGGGTGAGGAGTTTTGTGAGAACTTGGGGGCAGGGGAAGGAGCTGCTGGCTCTGGGGAGAAGCCTGTTCGCCCTTCCTGCCCCTGTCCCCTTTCCTCCACCGCGCTTCATGGAAGTCCATTTACAGCGAAGTCACGGAGGGAACACAAGGCCATCCCGCCCCGAGGCATAGCGACTGTCCTCCGTTTCTGGGAATAGAGGGAGAGGGGGGGTACAGGGCTGACGGCGTGGGTGGGAGGGGAGGTGCCGCCAGCCCTGACCACCTGCCTGGGGAGAGATGCTGGCAGGACCTGGGGTGGGGTGGGGGGCAGCGTGCAGCACCTGGCCAGTCAGGAGGGCAGGGAGGAGCCCACCCTTAGCAGGGATTGGCTCTGGAGCCTGGCGAGCGAGGAGAGGTGGGTCCTGGGCCCGGAGCTGGGCAGCTGGGCGGGGACTGGTCACTGTCCTGAGTGGGCTGCGACTGAATGTACTCCCTCATCCTCATGCACAAGGACTACCTGCTCCCTCTTCCCGCTGAGCTAGTTTCTCCTCCTTCCAGCCTCACAGGAACGCTTCTGTGGCTCCGCCAGCCCAGGATCCGGCCTCAAGCCCTCTGGGGTTGGTGTGGGAGAGGGGAGAGCCGCGCCTTTCCTGCCATCCCCCACCGCGCCGCCACTTTCCTTTGTTATGCCCGGAGGGGACTCCTTTCCTTCCACCTCTGTTTTCCTTCGTTCCCTGGTTTCTTACTGCACAAACCCACCCACGCCTTCCCTGCCCTCTCCCAGCCTCCAACACGGGCCTTCCTGTCACTCTGGGCTTCAGCGTGCAGTTCCCCCAATGCCCTGGCTTCTCTCAACGACACACCTTTGCCCCCTCCATCCCACCTGCCTGGAATGCCGTTCCTCCCTGCACCTCCTCGCCTGTCATAGGGTCAGGAAGGAAAACACAGAGGCTCTGGCGCCTAACGATCCGGTGCAAATCCTGATGTGTGACTCCGGGCACATAAGCGCACATAAGCCCGCCTCTCTGAGCTCAGCAAGCTCCTTTGCAAAAGGAGGACAAAGCAAGACCAGTCCAGTCCCGCGATTGCTGTGTGGTATCCCTCCAGTGCCTCGCACATCGCAGGTGCTCAGAGGCCTTGGCCAGTCCCTGCATTCCTGTAGCCGCTCAGTTCTCCTTGTATTGCAGGTCTCTTTGGAGGGCTCTGACTAGCAGCCTAAAGGGGGAGGGGAGGTCCTATTGCTTGATGCAGAATAGGGGCTGGATGAATGAAGGTCCCTAACACAGCACAGGGCCACCTCCGGCTCTGCCAGCTCAGAGATGCCCTTGCACCAGTGCAGGCCTCCGTCTCCCTCGTATATCCTGATCCACAGCCCCCAGAAGGTTCTCTCCTCTGCCGCCCTGGCCTCTGCCTGCTCTAGTCCCACTGACCTGCTTTTCTGTCCACGGCAGTGGCAACAGCAGCCTCGTCTCTGCCTGGTGCTGGGCGGACTTTGGCGTTCTTAAACCGCCAGGCGAGCCAGCGAGATAGTGGCCGGCTGACACTCTGCTGCCTCCCCCGTGTCCACCCTGCATCCTGGAACAGGCAGCATCGCCCGGGACTCTGTGAGGGGAGGGCACAGTGGCCCTGTCCTCCGAGGTGGGGGGGGGGGGCTTTCCAGAGAGCCACCCCCTGAGCTCCGGCTGGAAGGGAGCCCCGAGGGGTGAAGCATCGGGGACGAGAGGGAGAGCAGCGTGGGAGAATCTCCAGGTGGCACGGGCCTGCACGCCTGTCACTCACATCCCATCCCCCAGCTCCACCCTCCTGTCTACTCCCTCCTGGCCCTGCAAACGGGCTGGGGTTGGGCTGAGGTTAAAAAGAGAAAAAAAGAGAAAAGTTTCTTTATCAAGCACCTTCTGCAAGCCACACGTGATATTTAGATACTTTCATAATCACTCTCTCTATTTAAAAAAAAATTCATTTTTCCTATGTTCTAATAGATAGTACAGCATATGGGACAAAAGTCAAGAGTAAAAGGATACATGGTGTAGAGTTAGTGTCTCCATTTTCCTGTCCCCCAGGCCCCCCTCTGCAGGGGCCGGCACAGGTACCAGGGCCTTACATACACACCCAGGAAGGTCTTAGGCCTTTACAAACACATCTAGGCTTTAGCGCCTGTGACTTACCCACGAGGGAGACTGAGGCGCGGGATCTGTTCTCCGTAGCAGCCACACAATGGTCCAAGTCAACCCCTGGTGAGGAATAAATCAGAGTGCCCCAGCTGGTTTAGCTCAGTGGATAGAGCGTCAGCCTGTGGACTGAAGGGTCCCGGGTTTGATTCCAGCCAAGGGCACATGCCCAGGTTGTGGGCTTGGTCCCTGGTTTTGGAAGGGCCGGGGGGTGAGGAGGGGGGCGGTTTGCAGGAGACAGCCGGTCCATGATTCTCTCTCATCATGGGTGTTTCTATCTCTCCCTCTCCCTTCCTCTCTGAAATAAGTAAATATTTTTTTAAAGACAGTGTTACAAAAGGAATACATCAGAGTTATAGACAAGGCTGCCCACCAGACTTCCCGGCTCTCCCTCAAGCTGTCTCCCGGGCCAGGCGGGCGCGGGCGGAGATGGCAGGAGCGCTCCCCCGCGGACATCGCTGCAGGTGCAGGTGTGCCTCCAGCCCTTTCTGTGCGGGCTGTCTGCTGGGTCTTTCTGGATCCTGGCTTCCTGTCCCATGTCTCCCTTTCTAGGACTCCGTATGTGTTCTGTCTCAGTCTGGTGTCCCCTCAGCTGAGGGGATTGGATCTCCCCAGGCCCGGGAGAAGAGAGTCTCACCTTATCTGCATTGACAAGCCGTTAGAGGCTGGTATTGGACCTTCCTTCCTGTCTCAAGTTGACAACATTCTTGTTTTGCTGAGGGAGCGACCCAGAACATTCTGTTCTTCGCGTCTGTGCACACAAGCCAGCCAGCTCCAGCTTGGTACCTAGTGGTCAGTCAGAGATGTGCTGGGAGATGAGCAATAGAGAACCTTCCCTGCCTCACCCTCCACGGCATTCAAACTAGCACCTGGAGGCACGGGCAGCAGGCAGCTGGACGGACCAGTCCTGGCAAGAGGGATGCAAATGTTAGCTGCTACCAAAATCATTTATAATAGTTAACCTCTCTGGAGTGCCCGGCAGCAGCTGGAAGCACTTTATATGCATTAACTCACTTCTCACCAGCATGCGACAAGGTAGGTCCTATGACTATCACCGTGTGACAGTGAGGAAACTGAGGCAGGAAGCTTAAGGTTACATGGCTGAAGGAGTTGACAGCGAGCCTGATTTTCAAGTCTGGGCTCTTAGCTGGTACACAGTCCTTCCGGTTTTCCATTTCTATTCCTAGTGCAACGATCTCGGTCCTCCAATACTGAGTGGATGTCTGCTCTGGGCTGGGCACGGGGCCGTGGGGGGTTCTAGGGGGAATGGAATACCACGCCAGCCGTTTGGCGGTGAGAGAAACACGTAAACAAATTGTCCTTTAACACCAGAGGAGCCATGATAGATAGAGGCATGAACGTGTGGTGGGGAACAGGAAGGGCGAGGTTTGTACTGCCTGGAACAGGTGTCACCCGAGGGCAGACATCAAGAGGGCAGGGGGACATTCCAGGCAGAGGGAACAGAACGTGTGCAGGTGGGAAAGCTTACAAGACAGAGAAGCGTGGTGTGCCCTGGTGTCGAAAGACGACGGGCAGTGACTGTCGCAGGGGCTGCCAGCCAGAGAGTTCAGGGCTGGTGCTCCCGTCCAGCTTCCTGCTCAGGCCTGTCCTCCTGCTCCGGCCTCCCAGCTCCCTGCACCTCCCCGGTGCGAAGCTCCGTGCCAGGTGTTGGCCCGGAGTGTGGGAGAGAAGCAGGAGCCCGGGTCAGGGAGAAGGACTTTGTGACCAGCTGCAGACACAAGGATCTTTGTGGCCGGCGTTCTTCTGGGGGGGAAGAGGAGGCTGCTGGGAAGAGCTGCCAAAGGAGGATCATGGGAGAACTTGGGGCCTTGCCCATCTTGGTCATCCCTGGACATGCTAGATTTTCGGGCCGCAGGGAAGGGATCTCTGTGTGTATGCGTTGGGTCCTTCTCCTCCTTCTGCCCCTGCAGCTGGGGCTCTGGAGATCTGACATGCCTTGCTTTGGTGCCGGCCCTTGGAGGGTTGCCAGGGAAACCGTGGGCCAGCTCCGGAGGAGATGTACCCAGAAGAGAGGAGAGTGGGTGACTCAGGCTGCCTTCTCAGACGCCGCACCCCCTCCCCGTTACGTGGAAAAGGATCTCAGAGACCTCTTTCTCCCTACAGCAGGGATCCTGCTTTATCATTTCTTTTTTGGAGAGAGCAGTCAGCCCCCTCCCGCAGCCCTGACTGCGAGCCACATTCCCCTGGGAGCGAAATGGTCTCAGCCGCCCAAGTCCCCCACTAATACCCTCCGGAGTAGCAGACGGGGGTCCAGTTGGCCAGGGCGACTGCACACTGCTGTGGCCATCCATCCGGGCTCCCCACCGTCTGGGTGGTAAGCAGCCGGAGCCCTGGCTGAACTGCCCGCCCTCGTGGGAGCAAACCCGGGATAATTATTGATGGGCCGGCGGCGGACTTCTGACCTTGGCCTGGGAGGGACAGGACCCAGAATGCGGGCCGGGGGGAGGGAGGTGGGAGGGCCGCAGAGGGGGGCCCATCCACCAGACCACACCGTCTGGCCCGAGCCCGGCCGGCGGGGGTGGACACGAAGCCAAGCAGCATGCATGTGCCCATTGCGCGCGGGGCCCGGCTGGGGACGCGCATAGGGAGGCCAAGCTGCCTTGGCCACGGGGGGCAGCGCGCGGAGCCGGTCCGCCCGCCCCCCGCCCCCCCGAGCGTGCGGCCCCCCGGGTGTGCGGGGGTACCCGGCCCCTCCCGGCGGCCGCGCGGGGCTGGCGGGCGCGCTCCGGGCGGAACCAGGAAGCGGCGCGCGGCGCGGGGCGCGCTCAGGGCGGCGGGCGGCGCGCGCGGCCGGTGTCCGGGAGCGAGCGGCGCGCGCCCCCGCGGCCCGGGCGCTGGAGCGTCGGCGGCCGGAGCCGTCACCGGGCGGGGGCCCAGCGCAGGCGACTCGGCGCGGCGGCCGCAGGCGGGAGGGAGCGAGCGCGAGGCGGGCGGACGGCGGCTGCGGGCGCCCGCGGGGCCGGGCGAGGTAGGAGCCGAGGGGCCAGCCCGGCGCGTCCTCCCGGGCGGGGCCCCGCGCCCCCGCCGCCGAGCCGCCCGGCCGGGCCGAGCGCCGCCATCGCTCCCGGGCGGGGAGGCGGCCGCGGGGGCGCGGGGGTCCAGGGGCGCGGGGCGGCGGGGTGTCTGGGGGGCGGGGTTGCGGAGCCGAGGCGGGGGGTGCGCGCCCGTTTCCGGGGAGCGGGCGTGAGGGTCCCCGGCGCCCACCTCCGGGAGCCGAGGGGGCCACGCACACTTTGGCGGTGCAGCTCCGAACAGCCCCGCCGCCCCCTGTCCCCCTCCCCCTTCCCACAGGGGTGTCCGCGGGGGGCGGGGGTGAGCCCGGGGTGCCCGGTGGGCAGGGGCGTTAGCGGAGCTCCAGGGAGCAGAGCCTTATAAGGAGTCCAGGCAGCAAACGCGAACGTGTGGATAAGGCTGTGGGTGCGGGGTCCCCCAGATGGACCCGCCAGGCCCGGCTCCTGCGTGAGGCAGGGGGATGCAGCGTGTTCTTTTATTATTATTATTATTATTATTATTATTATTATTATTATTATTTCCTAGCCCAGGATAAAGAGGTAAAAAAAAAAAAAAGTGCCCCTGATGTCGGGGTAGATAGAGTCGGAGGAAGGGGAGCTCTGGGTCCCCAAAGCTGGTCTGAGGCAGAAGGAGTCTGGCAAGATGGTCAGGAGGGACCGTGTGAGGAGCCAGAGGCGGTGGCAGACACTTGTGGCCGGCAGGGATGGGAACGCAGAGGAGGAAAGCAGGTGCCAGCTCCCAGGAAGAGGAGGTGCATGGAAGCCCCTGGCACCGGAGAGGCAGAGAGAGACAGCGACCCTGTCTTTCCCAAAGAGCCAGGCCAGGTGCCTCCCCGCCCTGTCCCCTGTCCCGCCGTCACAGCTGAACCCAGCCAGCCGCGCTCAGGGCGGGCTGCGGGAAGGCCCGGGCTGGGAAGGGCCCTGGCGAGGATGCCACGCTCTTGGATGGTGCCCACGAGGAAACTGAGGCCCAGATCGGTGGAGCCCGTGGCCCGCCCAGGTCACACCAGCTGTGAGGCGGTGCAGGGTCTGAGATGTGGGCCAGGGAGCTCTCAGCTCCGTGCTCCTGGCCCCAAAGCGCGGTGAGGTAGTGGATCTTTGCCTCCAGAGAATTTCCCAAGCTGTCTCGGGCGTGCTTTGGGGGAATGAGTGCCCTTTGAAAGGACTAGCGTGTCATCGAATGATTAAACCGATCTTGTGTCGTTTTCCCCCCAGTCTTCCAACGGGGTTCCCCCTCCCCCTGTATCTTAAGTTTCCAACGCGGCTGGAGAGCCGCCTGGGCCATAATAAGCTGTCAGCTGTTGCGCAGATCCCCTCGAGTTGATTTTGTTGTGGTCCCGACGAAGATAACAGAACTTTGCCTCTCTCTACGCACTCCTTCCGTTTCTTGCACCTTTGTTCACAGTCATTGTTGTATTGCGTGTGCCTTTCCTCGCTTTTTCACAAGACGGTCTATTGTAGGTCGTGTGCCTCCCGTGGGTTTTCTAACTTAATTTTGTAACACTCTGGACACTGGGCCGGCTCTGAGCGTTCCGAGTGGCTTCCACGTCGGAAGGTCTCTTTTAAGGCGGTGGTGTTGTTGTCTGTTTTGGTACCAGTTTCCATCTCGCGGCAGGTGACAGCCGTTAGAATGGATAGCACAAATGGGGAAGGGGCTGCCGAGGGCAGAAAAAATGTACCGTGTGACCCCTTGTGATGTCCGTCGTGTTGCGTGAAAAGAATACCCCCCCCCCGCCCCCTTTGGGCAGGTGAGAGTCGGCTCACAGAGGACTGTTTCCTGAGGCCTCTGGAAGATGAGCGCTCTGAGCACCTGGTTGAGACATAGAGGAAGGAATGAAGAGGTCTTTCTTTCAAAACACAACACATCAGAAAGAAAGGAGGAAAAAAAAAAAAAGAGTTGATTTCTATCACCAGCAGTTTGGGTATTGCATAACTTGGAGCTAAACTCTGCACAAAATCATGGCTGTCTCCCCAGCGACATAAATTATGCCACCTTCTCGCCAGACCTCGCCTTTTCAGGGCTCGTATTTTTGTCAACAGGATATTCATGTGGATTTTGTGTTAAGAAATGGAAGGTGGGTGTGTTTCTGAGGTGGGTACTTCACGATAGATGTGATGGGAGGGGAAAACAGTGCTATCATTGTTTGGAGTGTTACAACATAAATGTTTTGGTCAGCACTTCCTATGGTGCCCCAACTTCTCATTTCATCTTCATGTCCTTGCTCTCAATTGATTTTTTAAAAAATGTCTCTATATCAAAAAACAAAACAAAACAAAACAAAAAACACATCAAGACTAGTAAAAGGTGCAATTTATTGCTCTTTTGGTATTTATGTCAATTTTTGAAGTTATAGTAAAATTCTTTCAAGTTACATTCAAGTTATTTGTGACTTGTGTTAGGTTTATATGTATGAGTGTCCTTGTGGCTATTCCTCTGACTTATTTTTGTGTAGGTAGGTAATATAGGTAGTCTTATAAAAGGAAGATGTTATAAGTAGGTAAATGATATGCTCAAGATGCAATTGCAGGTTGAAGGTAGAATTAAAAAAAAGCTTCAATAGTCTAGTGCCCTACAAACATGTACGTATTCATAAAGTACTCACGAATTTCTGAATGTTCTTATGTCCTCCCATTTTTATTCATGTGTTTTGAGCATTTGAAACGTATTCTTTTAAAAATATGTTTATCTGATAATTCCTATAGTTACCCTTCAGAAAAATATTCTTTTACTGCATAAGAAAGTATCAAAATAATTTGACTCGGGAACTTCTTAATAAAAATAACGTTTAGACGTTAGTTCGAAACTATCACTGTCCCCAATTTTGTGTGGTGTTTAAAGGAAAAACACTTTTCTTTAAATCTGAGCTTTGTTAATAGAACTGTTCTAAAACAGGAAGTGTTTCTCTCCCCCCCCCCCCCCCCCCTTGCAGTGTTAGAAACACAAGTTTTATGCTTCTTTCTGGGAATAGGGAGTCAGATATAACAATCTACTTTCCATTGATTAGACAGGTGTTTTTTTGTTTTGTTTCGTTTTTTGGCACATTTAAATTGTGACCATCATGGTGATAAAAATATATATATTTTTTAAATTGTATTCACTCTTAATGAGCATGTCCTTATTTTAAGTAGAGAATTGACATTAGACTTTTAAAAATTATTAATGATGATTCTTTACCATTGAAAAACCTAAGCCAGTCTGGAGAAGATTTTACATATCTAAGTCTGTGCTGCTTTCTCTGATCAAAGAGAGGAGTGATTTCAGGTGCTAGATTTTTAGTCGGTCGAACGAGACCCTCACTTTTGGTGGTTTCAGGGTTTTAGATGACGTTTTATTACTGTTGTTAGTTTTGGTCACACCCATGACTTCCTTGGAAGGTAACTTTGAGGTTTGGTTTCCTTTTTTTCATTTTATTTTTTATGGTAATATTGGGGTGGGGGTGCTTCCTGTTTGTATTTTCAGAATTAGGTCCACATGTAACCTTCTCTAGCGTCACAATTCACTTTTAAACAAAGACAAGCATCAGGCGCCTTGTGGTTTGTGTTGGACCTGTTGCAATATTTCATGACAGTTTTACTGAGCTCAGCCTGAATACCCAACTGGGAGGGCAAGACATTCCTGAATCTTTCCCCAACTCTCTTCAAGATTTAGCAGCCGTGGAAGAAAACACAACAACAAATGTGCAATTTAAAAAAAAAGGGGGGGGGGGGCGCGGCTGCTGCCATCTGTTTCCTCCCAGGTACCTAGAAACTGCACAGCGCTAGACGGAGCTGAATTGGGTTCTGTGAAGCCTTGAATATCAGCCTGTAGAAAAGGGCTGCCCCAGCCCGGCCGCTATGGCTCAGTGGTTGAGCATCCACCCATGAACCAGGAGGTCACGGTTCAATGCCCGGTCAGGGCACACGCCCCGGTTTCGGGCTCGATCCCCAGTGTGGGGCGTGCAGGAGGCAGCCAATCAATGATTCTTTCCCATCATTGATGTTTCTCTCTCCCTCTCTCTCTCCGCCCCCCCCCCATGTAAAAAGAAAGGTTGCCTCTGCTTTATACAATATAGAACCCCATGCATTGTACAGTGAATATGGCAGTTTTTTTCTGACTTCATCTGAGCCATACAGAATGTCATGGAGGAGTTAAATAAGAACAAGAAGCCGAAACCGGTTTTGCTCAGCGGATAGAGCGTCAGCCTGCAGACTGAAAAGTCCCTGGTTTGATTCTGGTCAAGGGCATGTACCTTGGTTGCGGGCACATCCCCAGTAGGGGATGTGCAAGAGGCAGCTGATGGATGATTCTCTCTCATCGATGTTTCTAACTCTATCCCTCTCTCTTCTTCTCTGTAAAAAAAAAAAAATCAATAAAGTATATATATATATATTAAAAAAAAAAAAAGAACAGGGAAACATTTAGGGATGGTGGTAGAACTTTGGAAGAGCCACCCTGAGCCATAAACTCCCCCTTGACCCTCACCAGTAATTCCCATGTGGTAGGTCACTGTGTATGTATGTGCTGGCATGTTCCTGAGAGGAGCATGTGATCATGTTGTTTCAGACACTGAAGCGAGTGGTCTTTTCTGGGCCTTCCGCTGACGGGATTCCAAGAAGTGTAATGACCGAATAGACTCTTAACGTAATTGGCATTCAAATACGTTCGCCGTGGAGGGCCGCTTCTCTCTCCTGCGTTTTCTTTTCATCCTGTACCCCACATTGCTAAAGGCAGTCCTGCGTTAGCGTGTTGGGCAGGTACGCATCATGTGATTTGCAAGTGCATAATGGTTAATACCCATAGGGTATCGTCACCTCCCTTACCCCCCTCCAGTACTCAAGAAAGGAGAAGTTATAATTTGTCATGTACTGGGTATTTCTCCTTGGAGTTTATTCATATTAGTTGCATCCATTCTCATGTGTTATAATACTATTAAGATGAAAAATACACGTATTGATTGATAAAGAACATTTGTCTTCT